GGGTGCTCCAAGAAAGGAGGAATTTACTAAGAGAAGGAGAAAACAATCTAATGATTAAACACATTTCTTCCGAGTTTATTTTTTTTTTTTTGAGTGGTGTGAGTTTGATAAAGTGATGCAAGTTGTAATAATTAGTGAGAGTGTTTGAGTGGTGCGAGTTGGCCGTTGGCGGAGTTGTCATAAATTCAAGACAAATTGAATACAAAACCATTTCCGCCTGCTTACAAAACGTAGACGGTAAGGAACCAGCTACGGAACTTTACTTGGGGTATAATTAATTAAGCTACGCTAATTAAAGCAATTACTATATGAAGTTATAAAGTACATTACATTTTATTTTTACCTATTAATTCCATTTATACATTGTGCAAATATAGATGTGGTAGTCACCATCTACCGATTGAGTCTGGAAGGTGGCAAGGTTTAACTAGAGAAGAAAAAGTTTTTCATTCCACATGGAGTTGAATATGAGAAAAATACGAGTTTCACTTGTCGAGAACTTAGAGCTACTCAATAAGTTTTGTATTCATTTATATCTGTTTTAGAAACCGTGCTGTAAAATGACGCACAGATATTCAAAACTGTTTAAATATAATAAAAAAAGTAGCACTAAAATGCATTTACAGTGTTTTGCATATGGCAATTTAAAAATTGCTAGAAGGAAGTAGATTGCACATTCAATATGGGTACTTGGTTCAGAAAACTTTAGGGCAGATTTTCTCTCTAAAATAATAAATACCGATGACTAGCAAACGTTTTCGAAGATTTTGAGTTCACGAAAAAAAGAATTATAGGGCATTATACCATAGTTAGATTTGTCAACTTTGCTTATACAAAATTGAAGCGATTATATCAGATTTTTTGAATCCCGAGAGTTAAGCTATTGACACATATTCACAAACTTGAAAAGAAAAATGAGACAAATTGGATAGTATCTCCCATTAAATTAGTTTGTAAAAGTTTAAATCATTTAGTACTCTGTAAAGAGGAATGTACCCTTTTGGTATGAAAATGGTCGTCCTCATCTTTTTGGATCTTCTTGTTCAGAATTTCAAATTTCAACATTATAGATCGGGGGTTAATGAATGAACACGTGATCAATTGCACAATGGATCAATAAGAATTCAATTTTTGGTTCAAAGAATTTTTGATTCTGATAATTTAGTTGTCTGGCTAAGAACGATATAGATAACAGTTTTGTCTTACTGTGACATAACCATGAAACATGTTGACAATGATAGCTAGGTCATTTTTAGAAATCTGATGATGCTTAACTGTACGGAGCAAGGTCAGTAATGATCATTTATATTTTAAACGCATTGATTAACGTTAACATGTAGATACTCTTTTTATTCATTATTTTTAATTTAATTTTCACATTTTCCAAAATTTTGTCTACATTCTGAAGAGGATAAAATTCGGAAAAAATGTAGATACGCTTTTAACAAGTTTTGTAGATGGTGTTTTTCGTTTCATATGAATCATTTACCAGCATCAGATTATGATGTTTCGTTATATCTGATTCGTTTATTTAACAAATAAAAAAAAACACAAATCTGCAGCAGTGGTTGAAGGAGTTAATTATGCAACTGCCTTGTTTGTATCAACTCCCACCCCACCCCCTCATCATAAATGGCTCATTTTTGTGTGAAAAGTGATTACTACTTATAAAGCTTTTAATATTAACATTTATTTCTTGTTTTTTAGATTGATGTATATTTATGTTTGACTGAATGGCTGTTATTGAGCCCGTAAACGCATGACTGTTTTATATAACGGCTGAGAATGAGCCGTTATATGATGAGAAGATGGTGGAGAAAAATGAGCTGATGTTTGAAAATTTTTATACGTTTCTGATACATGTGTTGAGTTTTATTGTATAAATAATTTATGTTCGTTTAAACTTGGCGAATTAGAACATAACTTTTATTGTTTATATAATGTTCTCTATAACTCATAGTATTTAATTAACATACTTAACTTCTTCATGTCATGTATACTGTATATGTATGCTTCAATGTAATGTTTTGCTTTGTGTAGCTTTTGTGTGAGAAGCATGCTTGCTTTGTTTTAAACGTGCACGTTTTAGATGTTTTGTTTGTAATAGAGATTTCCAATAAAATGACTTTACTCGACATAACCGACCTAACTCAACGTATTTCGCCCTATTGCATTGAAGCATGACGGAGGGGAGCATATACTGCATGCATGTTTTGCTCTTTGAACACACATTTTTTGCTGGAATATACTTTATGTAAAAATCAACCCCAACTAATTTTTTTAATCTTTAAATATTTTGTCATTAAATTTTGAATGATTTTATTGACACAAATATTTTAATGGAATAAGTAAGTTAGCAACTTGTAATCAAATACACCCATCATTTCTTGTCATTTCACTTGACCCATATTTTAGTTCTTCTCAAAATATGAATTTTAAAAACTACCAAGTCAAAATTTAGCATGAAAATATTACAATAATGAATTCCGAAGCGAGAAGGTTTTTTTTTTTTTTTTTTTTTTAAAGTTTTAACGTTAAAAGATTCCAACACACCCGAATTTAAAAGGTGTACGCGACTACTTTAAAAAAAAATCATTTTTCTATAATTTAAATGAAGATAATTTGACGTGGGCAGAAATTCATATCATTGATATATTTATCAAATAATACTTTTTCGTCTTAACCTATACTAATGTTTGGGACGAGGTTTTTGTCCATGTAAACCTAAACGTGCATTCGCGGATACAGGGGAAGTGGGCGTACTCCCCCCCTTCCGATCGCCAAATAATTTGAAAATCTCATGTTTTTTTTTTAGTATATAATCGTCCAGATTATTTTTCGCTCGGCAGTATAAATTCAATTATCGGGAACTACACCCTCTTTCAAATATCTTGGATCCGGCCATAATCACAAATTGTAATGCACGAAAAAGAAATTCAATGATTGTCGTTTGACTTTGATAAATATTTTTAAAAACAACAATGTTTGAACATTAGACATTTCGCATGAGATTTAAAAGTTTAAGACTACATACTGAACTGGATTTTTTCCTGGATATAGTAGCTCACTTAACACAGAAATGTGATACTGACGTGTAATCTAATGGACACATATTCTTGTTTCTGATGTTTCTTTTAATATAAATATATATATTTATTTATTTATATTCCAAAAAACAAATCATCATGTATCTTTTGCCGATAAACTATCATTACATTTTATAGAAACTACATATAATCTGCTATACAGTTATGACCACTAATGGTCCTACAGACACTCTGTGCTTTTGACATGACAAAAGGTCTTGCTTTTCTAGACTGTCTATGAACTTTTTATGCTTAATTTGTGATATGCACAAAAACAAGGTGTAGTATGATTGCCAATGAGACAACTTTTCACAAGAGACCAAATGACACAGAAATTAACAACTAAAGGCCACCGTACGGCTTTCAACAATGAGCAACAATGAGCAAAGCCCATACCGCATAGTCGGCTAAAAGAGGCCACAAAATGACAAATGTAAAACAACTAAAACGAGAAAACTAACGGCCAAATTAATGTTAAAAAAAATGAACGAAAACACAACAACAAACGAATTACAGGCTCCTCCTGACTTGGGACAGGCACATCCATACATAATGTGGCGGGGTTAAACATATAACCGTCCCCCTGACCTCGGACAGTGGTGTAACAGTACGATATAATTGATCAATATTCTTAACTGGATAATTATTCTCTATTTATTAGTTGGAGTTGTTTTTAAGATAGTATTCAGCAGCTGTGGATACTATCAGATAGGTACATGGAGTTTATTTGGAAATACTAGAAATAGCTGTTTTTGTGCTTCGTTTCAGTCTCACGAGTCAGTCCCTTTCTGACTGTTTTTAAAAATTGTGACATGATCATTTGATAAACATACTTCTATGATCTCTTTTGGCTTTAACTTGGACATTTATAAAAACTATGTAGCAAAGAGATGCATGCGTAAAATAAGTTCTTGGCATAAATTGGCTAAAATATCAGATAAGAATTAAGCCTCAAGTTATAATACTTACGACGAAGAAGCCTCAAACTATAATACTTACGACGAAGATTGAACCTCAAACTATAGTACTTATGTTGATGATGATAATGATGTATGTCTTATATCCAGCGACAAATATTACATATATGTAGGACTCAAATCTATGGCGGGTTCCAAATCTATGGCGGATTCCTAATCTATGGTAAATATGACGTAATGCCGTCTCAAATCTATGGCAGTTTTTGTTTTCTCCAAATCTATGGCAGATTTTGAAATTGCCTATTTTTCCGGGAAAAAGAGTTACATATAACGTCACAATCAAATAACGCCATATGACGTCGTCGCCGCCGCCGAATTTGAAGATGGCGGAACCCATGAACACCATTCCAGATGAAGGTTTTGTATTAGCAAAGGAAAAGAAGAAACCAGTTTCAAAGGACCCTAATCCAGAAGTGTTTTGGAGGGACTATGCAAAGGTAGTGTCCATTTGCAAATTAAAAGCAGAAAATCCAAAATGGGGATCCGCAAAAATAATCAAGTTTTGCAATGAACAGTTGAACGATAGAATGGTTAGAAAATATTTGGAAAATTATTTTTATGATTTGACTTCGAATCATTTGTATAAAAAAAGTGTTGACCTAGCTACTCCTCATAGGAAATGTCTTTCAAAGGAGGATTTAATTAATCTAGTAAAAAAGAATCATGCATTAGATCACAGAAAATCTCACAGCATTTATGAATCTATTCGAAGATTTGTTTTCCCAGTCGTAAGGGAAAACGTGAAGCTTTTATTTGATCTTTACGTGGACTGTGAACAATGTAAAAGTGCTATATCTCTACCAAAAACAGAAACAACAAGACGCTTAATACCAGCAACTTATCCAAATTCAAGATGGCAAATTGACCTAAAAAAGATGCCACCTCATAAAGGATATCAGTACATATGTAATATCGTTGATTGTTTTTCAAGATTGCATTTGGCCAAGCATGTAAAACTAAAAGTGCTACTGAAATAAGCAAAGTTGTACTCAGTTACATTTATCTATATGGAGCTCCACGTATTCTACAATCTGACAATGGAAAAGAATTCCGGAACTCGCATCTTAAAGAAGTTGTAATACAATTTGACACAGTCCAAATGCATGGTAGACCATACCACCCACAAAGTCAGGGCAGAGTGGAACGTTTTAATCGCACACTGACTGAGTATTTTAGAATTAAAATGTCAGAACGTTCAGACTGGTCCGATCAACTTCCTGAATTTTATTACGCATATAACAACAAGCTAAACAAGGCCACACGTCCAAAGACTCCATATCAGCTATTTTTTAGTCGACCAAATTTTGCTGTGCCGCTTGATGATCAGGTATTTACTTTACTTCGTTAATTTTATTTAAATTATTATTTCGGAAATTAAAAATTGAGTCTTTGTGTTATAAAAAAATCTTAGTAATTAGGTCATTTATAGTAGTATTCTTACTTTATGTTACAGCTATTCTGTGTCAATAAGTCGTCTAGGACCGTAGGATGTGTCAATAAGCTGGCTACGGCAGTATGCTGTGTCAATTAGCCGTCTAGATCCGTAGGCTATGTCAATGTGCCGTCTAGGGCCGTAGGCTGTCAATGTGCCGTTTAGGGCTGTTGGCTGTGTCAATGTGCATTCAAGTACCATAGAATGTGTCATGTGCACTATAGCGCCTTACTTTGCAAATGTACTATTTTTAGCCGTAGGCTGTGTCAATGTTAAGTCTCTTACCGTGACAATGTGCCGTCTAGTGACTTAAGTTGTAAGAATATGCAGTCTAGTCTGTGTAAATAAGCTATCCTGAGACGTGTCTTAAGAAAAATTTGATTAGGGTTATTATTCATATCAGTATTTGTTTTTTAACTTGCGGTTGAGATAGATTTTTACATTATAGATTTATTTAAAAATTATAACTTGCCGAATGTCAGGAAATAAAGACAAACCAACAAAACAACGGTTTTTTTCACACCAAAGAAATTGAAAATTATTTTTTATTATAAAAAGAGCAGCTTCTGTTCAACATACCTTTGTATTTATAGGTACCTTATGCTTCTCTTACTAAAGAAGAACGAGACTTTTTAGAGCACGCCGAATTAGATGTTGATGAAAATGAGTCAGAGGAAGAACTCCCAGAAGTATCTGTTGATGTGCTACACTCATCCTTAACTGAGGCTTCAGGTGGAAACCAATTCGCCAGTACAAATCATAATGAAGAGGAACTCACTTTACATGGTAAGATTTAAACACATATGCATGAACTTTTTACTTAAAGCTATCGTCCTGAACATGCATGAAATATTTGCCACTGGACGTTAAGCAACCAACAAACAATCAATCATTATTTAAAACTAATAAAAGTACACAAATTTAAATTATAAATTTAATTCTAAAAATGAATACAATTACTTGTTTTACATGTGATAAAAATAAATGCAAATTTAACATATGCTTAGCTATATTTAACTGTAAATTAATTAATTAGTTTTTGTTTTTATTTTGCAGACCATGGCGTAAATGAAGAACATGGCAATTTACCTCCAGATTGTACCCAGGAAAATGATTTTGTAGTGCCCGAACCATCATTTTCACGAACTGTTATTTTGCAAGTAAGTATGTTAAGCCTTGTGCATTACTTTGTTTATAATTTTCAACACACGCCAAAAAAAAGAAGAAGAAAGAAAACCAACACATTAGATCTTAAGAGTACGTACTTGTTCCTAACCAATACATAAATATCTTTTTTTTTAAATAGAAAAACCTATTGTTGTATGAGTTTCCGTATAACCTACAGATTAGACGAATATTTTTACATGTGTATTAATGTATTATTTGTTCAGTGAAATATTAAGTGATAAATTGTGCACAAAATAACACGAAATATTCTGTTTATTTTTTTGTAGGAAAATGTTAGTCCATACTACAAACAAATGTATCAGAGAAAGTTTTATAATGAGCAAAATAAAGAAAATGTACCAGTTCATCCACAGGTATGTGATTTTGTTGGGATTTGTCTTTAAATGTCATATATTTTAAACTTTGTGCCTTAGTAGTTTGTTGCTCGTTATGTAAGCGTAATATGTAATAATTTTGTTTACATACTGTTGTATAGAATAGGTTTGTAACTGTATGATGTACTTTTTAAAATATTGTCCTATATAACATAAAATTTGATGCATTTGATAGAAATCTTTAAAAGTGTTGCGACTGCACGTATACATGTACATGTATAAGACTTTTAATAATGCTGAACCATTCAAATGCAAAATGTAAAAGTTGAATTTTAGTTTGCTTTGTACGATTATTACTAGTATATCAACTTTATTTTAAAACTGCTACACTTTGCATATATTTTTTTAACCTAAAAATAAGTAAACCGCGTTGGCTTTCCCGTTTGATGGTTTTACACTAGTCATTTTTGGGGCCCTTTATAGCTTGCTGTTCGGTGTGAAAAACCGTACTGTAACCTATAATAGTTTAATTTTACAAATTGTGACTTGGATGGAGAGTTGCCTCATTGGCACTCATACCACATCTTCGTATATCTATCTAGATGATTTAGATTTGATTTCACTCAGCCAACATATACTTTTTGTTTATACTTATAGACTATTTTTTTTGTAGAATGTAAATCAAAAACAGTTACCGGTATTTAACACTGGACTCACCGATTTTTATAAACAAATTCACCGGGAAACAATTTCAGCTTTTCCACTAGAGCAGTTTTCCGATGGTTTGAGGGAAGACATTACCTACTATCCGGAAGAGGGACAAAATGTGATGTACAGACCGAATCCTGCGATGAACAAAGGCACCGCAGTTTTCAGTACAGGATATTTCAGGAAAGGGGTCATAGACTCAATTTCAGCGTCTACTGCTGGAAAAGTGTATAAAGTGACAGATCAAATTACAGGATACAAATTTGATTTAAATCGTCATCAAATTAAAAAGATGTGATCAGGAGAAAATAAATAGCATGTGAAGAGTCAAAGTGTTTATTTTTTTTACAAACAGAAACTGCTTTCTTGTTGTTTAATGACTTACTATTTGGTTAATGTGTCGGTTAAACATGACCATGCACAGAGTAGAAAATGCTTATGTTTACGGGACACATCATTTCAAGATCATGAAGTCTTTATTAAGCTTTTTAAATTGATCATTTATAAATTTGGTTACTGTCATGATGTGGTTTATAATTTATACAATATACAAAAGAAGTTGTGGTATGACATGTATGATTGCTATGAGACAAATCACCACAAGAGACCAAACACAGAAATTAACAACTATAGGTCACCGTTCCGCCTTCAACAAAGAGCAATGCCCATACTGCATAGTCAGCTATAACATGTTTATTTCACTAGTGTTTATACACACTCTAACGTTGTCATTTATCTCCATTTGTTTTAGACAAGTCATTGGTCGTATATACTGCATTGTTTTCCATTTGCACGACATTTGCCATAGATTTTAAATCAACAAAAATCCGCCATAGATTTGGAAATTACAAAATTTGCCATAGATTTGGGTTGTAAAAAATCTGCCATAGATTTGGGATGGCATGACGTCATAATTAGAAAATTTAAAAAACTTGCCATAGATTAGGAGTGTAAATTTTTTGCCATAGATTTGGGATGGCATGACGTCATATTTACCATAGATTAGGAATCCGCCATAGATTTGGAACCCACCATAGATTTGAGTCCTACATATATATTAAGGATGATGAAATGATAATGATAAATGCATATACATTTTGTACATGCCCAACACTAAGAGTCGCATTTTCATATGCTAGGTAACAAGATAGCGTAACCGCTATAAAGACACACTTGTCTTTCTACGAGTAAACCAATACCTGCTCTTACTCGTGAATGCATCATGCTTGGTGGAGAAGCCGAAAAATCCAGTCTTAAAGTCATTCGATCAGGGGGTCCAACAAAATAATTGAACCCGTAATCGAGGCTAGATGTCTACAGTCAATCCCATATTTAATAAAAAAAAACCTGTTCATATATTTTATGCTTTATGTGCATATATTATTATTCTAGCAACACTTGTTTTGTTTTGATAACACATTTTGTTGCATAATTTATTTGTTTTTTTTCTGCTTGTTTCTTTGTATCATAAAGCTCAGTTTTTATTGTAAAATGGTGTTTCACAGCTTCCATTCTGTTTGTGAATTGCTATTATTAATATCCAGTAGAACTGTGCGCCGATCTTTCCAAAAGACGAACAGATATTTTAAATACAGATAGATGAATAAAAAGTCTTTGGTATGGCGTGAATAACGACTACAGTGGCTCGTACTGTCGTCAACAATAAGCAAATACGCATACAGTATTAGCAGATACGTGTATATAAGGCATTGACTAGGAAAAGTGTAAACAGTTCAAACGAGAAAAAAAACCATTTTTACACGAGTAAAAATAACCGAAACATGACCAAAAGTAACCAACGACAACCACTGAAGTGAAAGCTCCTGACTTGGGAAAGCCAATATAGAATTTGGCTTGATTAAACACGTTTATCAGCGCTCAACACTCTGGTGTAACAGCACAGTATAAGAAAAAAATGTAAAATTCAGTTGGAAATAGCTCGACTAATCAAATTTGAATGAAGCCATGCAAAATAATTACATTTCTATGATGAAAGACACCGAGTATCGATCTTCAAGTACCACCAGGTACTGAAAGCGGATTCTCACATGTTTAGTTACCTGAAAATATTTAACGTATTAAAAGAAATTAAAAAAATAAGGAGATGTGGTATGAATGCCAATGAGAAATGAAGTGGATGTAAATAATGATAGGCAACCGTACGGTCTTCATCAATGAGAAAAATCCATACCGTATAGTCGACTATAAGAAGGGCCAACTTGAAAAATATGAAACAATTCAATTGAAAAAACTACCCGTCTGATTTTAAAAAAACAAAACAATTTACGAAAAACAAATATAACAGATATGAATCAACGACAACAAGTGAACCACAGGCTCCTGGCATGGGACAGGCACATAAAGAATGTGGCCGGGTTTAACATGTTTGTGAGCGCTCAACCCCCTCCCCTACAGCCTGGGACAGTGGTGCAACAGCACGACATAAGAATAACCTGGAAAAACCTTCCTTCAGAGAGCTTGGTTTACACAAATATATACATATTTAAAGTAATTATGAATATAAAATGTTTTTTTTAGTCGTGTATCACCTTCACTGGTGATCATGTGCATGGATCTGTCGCAGAGTTGTCACTTTTATATATATATATATATATATATATATATATATATATATATATACCTCCAAAGCGAGACAAAAATTGAAACTAAAAATTTTCGCGAACTCAATCAATATATGTGATAGTTTTAGAATCCACTTATTGGATAAGTAAGAGTAAAAGAAAATTCCCGTAAAGACTGAAGTGACATTATAGTTGTATGTAAATTGGCATTCTCATCCACTTTTAATCAGAGATACTTTGGGACAGGATATTTTTTAGCCAATTACTATGTACTATAAATTGATAGTTTACTATCGACAGCGGTCAATGTTTATATGCAGATTATTAATCATCAGTTGCTAATCAAGTACACCTTCCAAATTACAATATATATAACGAATTGGTGTACACATTTATTTACATACATTATTTTCAATTAAAATATTCTTTTTTTTAATGTTCGTTGACTTTCATTTGAAAGAAAAGATTATGTCAACTATTAAAATTTAAAGAAGTACAAGACCTGTATTAATTTTTTTTTAATTATACACATCCCTTTGTCGTACGTTTTCCCTGTTGAAAAAAAAACGGAGATTGTAAATAAACGAGATTAACTGCAGAAGAAGAGAACGTTTGAAATGATGCTTAATAAAGTATGATGCAATCCCAGTTATCAATTTTAACAGAGACAAATTCTGATTAAGACTTTGAGTTCGATTTTTCTGAAATTGCTAAAACAAAATCTATCTAATAATAAATACCCACGAAAATTAAATATTATAAAACATGAAAAAAAAAACGAAAAGAAGAAGGGACACCAATCTGATAACGACAAATAAAAGCATGACAAATATCAAATAATAAAATTCATTTGCTAAGTATATCGAAAAACAAAGTCATGGCCAAAACCATGAAAGACAACTCAAATGAATTGTATGATAGGTAAAGATACGTATATATACGTGGTCTTATGACAGTGAAGTTTAGGCGGAAATCTCAATAATCACGTGATATATAAAAATCATGATTTCTTTCGTTTTTCATCATCTTATAAATACTTGATATTGATAAAATTTATCATGAATGGGTTTGATAGTTTAGGAATACTTAGTTAAAACTTGAGTGACGAATTTAACAAAAATAATAGGTTAGCAATAACCGGTCCCGTTACGTGCGTACGTCGAGTTAGGTACGTATGTCATTTTATTGGAAATCTCTAATACAATGTAAGACGATATAAAAGCTCAATAGAGCTTATGTTTTCTGTATAATGATCTCGTCTGTAAATAAAGCTTTTGAACTTGAACTTTGAAAAAAAATTGCAGTTTTATGAGAAATAAAGTCATTCATTCATTCATCATACATTGGTGCTTCAGTGTAATGACTTAGTTTAAAAATATAATCTTGAACCATACTGTACTTGTGATATATATTGTTAACTAAAATGTAATTAAAGACATAAAATGCTTAGTAAATGAATGGTATAATAAGTTGGTTTCCAATGAATATTCCTAACTATGTACTTATAAATTGTTTAAAACAAAGTTTAAGGTAGAATATTATATTTTATAAAAAATATTGGGCATACTGTAAAACATGGTATGGTATAGTGGTATGGTACGAATACCCCCATACCATGGTATTCATGAATGGTACCATGGTATGGTAATAATAATGAGTATGATGGTATGGTACAAATTACTATACCATGGTATAATTTGATGGTATGAAGCATGGTATGGTTTTTTGTAGTAGGAAGTTTTGAAAAGTTAATAAACCTATTCTGAAACAGGATTTTATTTATTATCTGTTTTCTTTTCTTTCTTTTTTTTTACCTATTCCAAAACAAACTTTTTTTTCAATAAGAAACAGGAACAAGAGTATTTGTTGAAACACAATATAAACAAATATTTATTGGTTCAATTTTTCCCAGACATTTAGAATCAAAACAATTAATTTAGAAAAGAATGGCCCACACACATTCAAAAGCTGAGTCAGTTCTTTGGTTATGATATTGACATATACGTTAAGTCAGTTAAGAACTTCATAAAATAGTTAGCAAAAATTAAAATTGATAAAATCTTGATTTATTCTTGTTATTTCCTTGCCACATAGTAAAACTATCATGCTGAAAAAAACCAGCCAAGTTTGGTTGGTGATTAGTTGTAGTAAGTAAGAATATAATCTGCTGTGACTTCAACTTTTGTTCAATTAAAGGACTTTTTTATTGCTATTTTTTTATTGCCAGCAAATAGTGTCACTTCTGAAAATGTCAAGAAAATCATTCTAGGGGTCTTGTTTCGAAGACAGAACAATTATAAACATAGGGAGGATGTTCCATATAACAAACAAAAATAAACAGTAGTACTGAATAAAAACTATGAAAAAAAGAAAAGAAAAGACAAACTTTAATTCCCTTAAACTAATTGAGCAAGTCTGTATAAAAAGATATAGCATGAAAGTTGTACTATGAAAACTTAGAACTTATGTGTTCAATGCAAATATATATATCTTAAAATTATAAAAGTTAACGACGACGGACTCCGGATGCCAGTTCTCCAAGCTTTCAAATTATGGCATTTCTTTTAGTTCATTAGAATTGATAGAACTGTTTTCACTTAATATAAAACATTCTTTATCAAAATAAAGACTTCAATTTAAAAAAAAAATCATTTTGTATCTAGAGTAATCTTGATTAAGTCTCAGAGTAAATATTACATGTACTCTGTGTTAAGGGTCGTTTTTTAAAGTAAGAGAAACAGTTCAAAATT